CACAACTGCCAGAGCATTGCCCATGCTGATACCTGAAGGGATGATATGGAGAGATGAAGACCGTAGTCTACAGTTTCCAAAAGTAGTAGCGACTTTGGGTTCTCATCTTGACATCTGAAAGAAACTTAATTTTCCCCTCCCCCTTCCATCCTCCCCCCTCCCCCTCCGCCACACACATTCACTAGTCACTTTTGAAAAATTAGGCCAGCAGACTTGTATACTTACTACAGCTCTACCCTGAACCTTACGTGGGGCGGAGGCAGGGCCGGCTCCAGGCACCAGCTGAGCAAGCTGGGGCTTGGGGCGGCAGATTGAACGAGGCGGCATTCTGCCCAATCCTAGGGCGGCACGGCCGCTTTTTTTTTTAATTTTATTTTATTTTATTTTATTTTATTTTTTGCTTGGGGCAGCCAAAAAACCAGAGCCAGCTCTGGGGGGTGGAGGGGCTAGGGTAGATAGGTCAGGCCCAAGATGGGCCAGCCTTACTCTGTTGGCACCTCCATCTCCAGTGTACTTCCCGATATTAATTGTTTCCTAGGCAAGACAAAAACAAAGACAACCTTAACCAGGCCATTCTAACAACCATCATCCAAATGTCAATGACACTTACCACAGACCACTGAAACTCTTGTGTTATATATGTCTGTGAACAACACGTGTAGAATACAACTGCTCAGCTCAAAAAAAACACCATTAAACTAACTTTTTTCCAAACAATTTTCCTGCAGAAAACCTTTTGAAAACCTCCTGGTTCATCATGCTTTGGAGTGATGAGCTGCATGCCCCTGTGCGCTGCTTGTAGCATTAAGTTTTCCTGTCTGAATGCTAGCTATTCAACAGAATTAAAACCCTTCCTTTTAGTGATATGATCTCCTTTTGTAATTCGATATAGTTCATATTTCTGTAATTATTTTCATTTTAAGTTGTATTTGAGTTCTCAGTGGGGCTCAGCTGATAGTATTTCTAATATTATTTTATCCCTGATTCCAGTCTTTGTATCCATAAACTAATCTCTGGGATGACAATGTCCTGTGTATCCTGAGCACACGTAACAATATGATCCTTGTGCTGGCCATGGCTACCCTGGTTGAACCATCTAGCGAGAGCTGTTATCTCCCCTTACATAAGAACTGTGCTGCCAAAGCAAATGTTCATGGGACTCCTTTCTGTGAGGTCCTAAACACCATCTCCTACTGGTTTCATCTAGAGCTGAAAGCAGTCAGCGCCTCACAGAAACTGGCCCTATGACAGTGTGTAGATAGGACTTAATGATTTGCTACCTTGGTTGATTGACCGCCATAGTTTTATACCATGTTGAATTTAGACAACCACATACACCAGTATTCCAGAATCAGCTTATTTATTTGTATTACCGTAGTACCTATGGGTCCAAGTCCATGACTAGGGCCCCGTTGTGCTAGGTGCTGTACAAATGTAGAATAAAAAGATGGTCCCTGCCTCAGGAACCATACAGTCTAAGTAATACTCATAGACTTTAAGGTCTGTGATCATGATCTATGGCTCTATGCTGACCTGGACATTGAAGGCCACAGAACCTCACCCACCCACTCCTGTAATAGCCCCCAAACCTCTGGCTGAGTTACTGAAGTCCTCAAATCATGATTTAATGACTTCAAGTTACAGAGAATCCACCATTTACTCTAGTTTAAACCTGCAAGTGACCCATGCCTCACGCTACGGAGGAAGGTGAAAAACCTCCAGCGTCTCTGCCAATCTGACCTGGGGGAGGAAATTCCTTCTTGAGGCCAAATATGGCATTCAGTTCCCACACACCTGGGAAAGAATTCTCTGTAGTAATTGAGCCCTCTCTATCTCATCACCGGCCCTTGGAGATATTTGCAAGCAGTTGCAGATCGGCTGCATGCCATTTTAGGCAGTCTCATCATACCATACCATCCATAAACTTATCAAGCTCAGCCTTGAAGGCCAGTTAGGTTTTTTTGACCCCACTGCTCCCCTGGGAAGGCTCTTCCAGAACTTCACTGCTCAGATTAGAACCTTCACCTAATTTGAAGCCTAAACTTGTTGATGGCCAGAGGGACTCTGTCAAAGTTCACAGGCTCAAACAATCTATGTGATCTTTGCCCTTCACTTCAATGGGAGGAGGATTAAGCCCGTAAACTTCATTTTAAATAAAATAACAATTACCATTTATGCAACTGAGAACCTACTGCAGTGCTGTTCTCCCATTCTGCATCCCTGCGCCTCTAGTCAGCAGGGCCGGCTCCAGCATTCCAAGCAGGTGCTTGGGGCGGCAATCTGCAAGGGGCAGCAGTCCGTGTGTTTTTGCTGCCCCAAGCAGCATGCCGAATTGCCGCTGTGGACAGCGGGGCAGTCCATGTGCCGTTAGGGCGGCAAGCATGTTTCTGCGGCGGCAGCAATTTGGTGGTAGCTTCTATGTTCAGCTGCCCGTGGCGGCAATTCGGCAGCTTCTGTCTTCCGGCTGAAGACAGAAGCTGCCGCCGAATTGCCGCCATCGTGGAAACGCGCGTGCTGCCCTAACGGCACACAGACTGCCCCCGTCGTCCGCAGCGGCAATTCGGCGTGCTGCTTAGGGTGGCAAAAACAATAGAGCCGGCCCTGCTAGTCAGGAGACTGCTTATGGAAATTCACAAGCATCCGATCTTTCTAGTGCTTCAGAGAACATCATGCTTGCTCCCAAGAACAGAGTAAGCAGACTTGAAGTAGCTTGACATGCCTTTGAGCATTTGAAACAAAGCCAAACTAAAGCAGAATAATCTTCATAGGAAGTGATCTAAACCTCATTGCCTGAGATATTTAACACTGCACTGGACAAGTCAAATGAGCTAATAGATCTTTTCTATCTCTAAAAATCTATAACTCTCATTAAAAATTTGGTAGGTCTAATTTTAGATCTTGGGCGTCCTTTTTAACAATCTTTTTCTAGCATTAATTAAGTCTCTTTGTAGCTAATAAAATTGCTGCTTTATTAGAAGTTATGAATTACTCACTTACATTATGGTATTCCCAGGAAATAATAATAGATTTTTCTAATATTTTTTCACAAACAAAATTAGCAACACCTTAGCAATTTCAACATATCCCTGTAACAAAATGTCTTGAACTCAAATTTAAAAGCATAATGTGAAATATGCTTCAGGTTGTAGGCATGTGACACTCATTATCAATATGAATGGATAGATAGAAAACTTATTGTATAATTTTACTTTACGGAAGCAGCTTGAATGAATAGGAAATAGTGAGTGGAATCCTAGCCCCACAGACATTGCGAGTTTTGTCACTGACTTCCATAGAGCCAAGATTTCATCCAGAGTGTTTTGGGGACAGAGAAAGTTAGTGAAGAGAGGAGATACCAGTAGTTTTGGGAATGCCATTTTGATGTATATAAAACTAGGGTTAGTTTTTGTTTTAGCATTGTGTTTTGAATTTATGCTTTGCCAAAACAAAAACAAGATCCATTTAGATCTGGGTCCCATTTCTCCTATATACCTAGAGTTCAGGAGTCTGGGTAGATGTTTCTGGTTTTAGTCCATTTCTATATGAAACAGATTAGCGAAACTATAGAGTGATTTAGGTTTTCCAAAACCTAACTATAGTTTAGATCCAATGCTCAAGTTATCCAAACCCCAGGAGATAATAAATTGTTCTGTTTTAACCCATTTCTATTTTTTCTTAATCTCATAGTGATTTTTGTTAAAATATATTTTAATTTTATTTCTTCATTCCTTCCCCATTTTTGTATTTTCTCACCATGTGGAAACTACAAAATATGGATTACACACAGATGAGGCAGCCACCTAGTAGACAGTAATCTAGCTCTGAGCAAATGCTATGTGCAAGAGTATAGAATGGCTGCGTTGGAAGACACTTGTATTGTGTTGTAGTGATTATCAATAAGTTGACTCATATGGACGGTGAGATGGATGAGATGCTTTTGGGATACACACTAGATAAAAATGAATATGCTGTGCAAGTCAGAGCCAGGTAAATCTACTTGATACCGTGTCTTACAGCAAAATTAGGGCCTATTCCTATGATCCTGAGCAGCTCATGCAGGTCTGGTGAAAGGTTTTGTGCAGTCTCCCCTTCAGTAGGCGCAATGACAAACTTGTATTGTTACCCAGCATAAGATTGTTCTTCAGATATAGTGGAGGTAGGACTGGCAAACTCAGGCTCCTGGTCTTGTAAATACTCAAACGTTTAGGTTTGTGCTTAACTTTAAGCACAGATGTTTGCAGGATCAGGAGCCCTGTTCAGTGTTTGATGTCTTCAAAGGATGCCCCTCTGTGTTGACAATACAAATATTCCTAAGGAGCCTAGAAAACACGAAGTGGTGAGGCTCATTCCTGGCAGTGGGGGGGAGGAATGTGTCATCATCCTTCTGCTGCCCCAGTAGCATATGGGATTTGTAATTTTTTGTGTATGGAAGGTTGCTAGTAGTAACCTTCCATTATTCCTTCAGCTGAACATCCAGAAGCACTGTGAGCAAAGTCTTCTCTCTGTTGCCCATTTATAGTCAGTCTCTCCTTAAAGATGATAAAGCTACAGGTTTTTAAATGACTGTAAATAATGTCTTTGGACAGTAGGTTGTATTTGGAAAGGACTGCAGTAGTGGTACTGTAGCACATGCACATAGATCACTCTAATAGATAATAAGGTCTGTGATGAACAGGCATTGTGAGCCCAGTAGCTTCAATTATTTACTCCAGTGTTTCAATTTACAGGTTCTGTTTTTATCTATCCACATCATGAAGTTTCATAGGCAGAAGTAGTGGGATGCTGACTTCTTACATTCAGACTCCATGTGTTGCACTGAAAATAATAAGTCCTGATATATACACGCTTCGTATTTGGCATAGCATATAGTTTGTATTCTCCAAAGTTTCTGGTATTAGGGATTTAATTGTAGAAACAAGTGTGGTGGGGTTTAAATAAATATTGTGTTTTCTTTCACTCACAGTAACAGCTGTGATTTTATTTTTTCTTTTCTTTCACAGGAAGAAGGTATAGTGAAGGAAATAGACATCAGTCATCATGTAAAGGAAGGTTTTGAAAAGGCGGATCCTTCACAGTTTGAGTTGCTGAAAGTATTAGGGCAAGGTTCCTACGGAAAGGTAATTTTCTACAGTAGGTAATCATTCAGATTAGCATTGTGAGAAGATAACATAATGGACCTAATCTGCTTTGAACGGCACTAGTCCCATTCCATTGAAGTCAATGAAGTTGCAGGGGCAGAAGAGCATATTTGCCATTTACTGGTGTCCTATGTAAGACACAGGTTGGGGATAATATTTATAGGGCTAGGCCTAGAACACAAGTGAGTGTTATGTACTAGTTATGTAATCCCCTCCTTGTTGCATTAACCCACCCCCCAGCTGTTCCAGAGGTGGTGATTGTGCTATAATTGCTAGTTAGGGGACATTGGTTGGGATTTTCAAAGAGGCCTGTGGGAACTAGGCATCCAATTCCCGTTGACTTTCAATGAGGTTTGGTCACATAATTCCCTCAAGTCCCTTTGAAAATCCTCTGAGGTTCATGTTCTGAGCTCTGGAAATTCCAGGCTTAGGGAGCAAGCTAGCAACCATTAAAGTTAAAGCATGGGACTGGGAGTCAAATGTTTTAGTTCCAGCTCTGCCAGTGACACCATGTATGGTCTTGAGCTTTCACTTACCTTCTCTGTGCTTCAGTTTGCCCATCTATAAAATGAGATTGATAGCTTCCTCACAGTGGTACTGAGAGAACTTTATGGTGCTCAGATGAAAAGTACTATGCAACTGCAAAGTATTATTATCTTTAAGAAAGATTAAACTAGTTTTGCATTGTCACATCCATTTTTAATGCCCACAAAAGCCATGTTTGTGCACACATTCCATTGCTGTGTGCATATTGTACATATCTATTACAAAACAACGTACAAAGACTAGAAACCACAAACCATCACCTGAATGTCCTTTGGTTAAGCATCTACATTTCTATGGTCTGAATGAATGAGATCTCCAAACCTTTGCAAGTGTGACCCCCCCGCTAGCGGCTGGTGAGCCTAATTTAAACCAGGTGCCAAAAATCCTTGTTTAAAGTTTATTTTTCTTGGTTTGTTTGAAAACCTATTCCCCAGGCTGGAACCCTTGATCAATCTGCTTTACTCAAGAAACTGATGCAGTCCTAAAATCAACTGAGTTACACCAGCATAAAATGGAGAAAGTGTCAAGATGTCTAGAGTGGCTCACAACTGTGAGTGCCGACCTCAGGGCAGACACTCCAAAGTGGTTGTATGTTCTAGAATTAGATTTCAACAATCCAGTAACAAGTGTGAACTCCTGAAGCACTATAATTGTCTTACCATGGAGTCGCAGACAGTCCCCTTGGGCATTCCACTCTATCTTCCCACCCAGGCAAGCTGGACTATGTGATAGATGGTCACTTTACACCAAAAATCTCAATACTCAGTTTACTCCCATTCCCAAAGTACCAGTCAGTCACTTACCCCAGGTCATTTGTACTCCAATCTCAAACCAAAGATAATGCCTGTAGTCAATCCTGTAATAAACTAACGATTTATTAACTAAGGAAAACAAATAGGAGTTATTTATAAGGTTCAAACAGGAAACACACACACACACACACAAATGAGTTACCATTAAATTTAAAATGATCATATAAGATTCTATGATAAGCAGCTCTATATGTCCTTAAGGGCTGACCAGGCCAAGCAGCATGGGGATCTCTTGCTTATGTTTAGGAATCTTTACTCCTCCAGGTCCAGACAGCATAAAGATCCTGGTTTCTTCTTGTCAGGGATTTTTATCCCCTGTTCCCCCAGAATCCAAGCGGATGGGATGAGTTCATGCACAGCTTTTCACATTGTGGAAGAAGTTAGGAATGCTATCAACAAGGTCTCTGTTCTTGATGCTACATAATGCTAATTTGCCTTCAGTGGGCCATCTTGTGTGCAGGATGAACACTTTACCTGCTTTTCCTGTTTGAGTTATACAGTGACAGGTTTACAATGCAAACATTCAGTATAACATTATAATATTAAGTAGGATTAATGCATGCAACATCCTACTAACATTCCATGAAGTCTACATACTAAATACTTTCTTATAACATTAATATCTATTTTAACTATACTAACCCACAGGTAAAGCCAGACTGGCTTCCAGCTATGCATTTGTCAGTGTCCAATGAGGCCTGGGGCCTTGGCATAAGCTGGCACCTGGTCTGCCAGGGTCACATACTGATGAAACAGACCCTACAATTTTATTCCTGAGACAAACTATATCTAGAGGAGTTATCCGCTTTCCTGAACACTGCAAACAGATAACTCTCACTGCATCTGTTACAAGTTCCCTGGGATGAGGGAATTTGGAAACCCTTCACCAACAAATTTATGACCTGCAGCCCTGCATAGGAAGGACCATAGTATTCTTGTGTTCTGAACATCTGCATTTAAAAAACAGCCAGACCAAGTAAGCATTGGCTGCTGCGGTGAGATGCAATGGGTTTAAAAAAAAAAAGTGGGGGAGGGTTTGTTCTTTCAAGATCAGCAATTGGCAGCTCTCCTTGTTCCAAATGCCCCAGATCTTTTGCTCTGTTGTAGTTTCTCTCTATCAAACTTAATCCAAACTATTCAGAATATGGGTATAATAAATATTTCAGAAATGGTTCAATGGCCGTCTTAGAGTGTACTGCTGTATTTCATTGTTAGTCCTCTAAATTGGCTCTTTACAGTTAACATTTCACAGCTAAAATAGCTAGTCTCTGGTGCAACAGAAATACTTACCAAAGGAAGACTTGGTCCTGTTGGGCCAGGTCCATACACTTCAGTGAAGGATCAGGGAATAACGGGGTACCGATTCAACCTAGCTTGGGTTGTGGGTGATTGCAAGCCACCATTCAGGGAGCTATGTGAAATAAGTTAGTGCTCTCCATACCACCACAGGCACTACTTGGCAGCTTCAGCCGAGAGGCATGGGATTGAATGCCCCTGGAAAGCTAATCGCCTCTTTGCTCCAGTAATGGTCCCTACAGGTTAGGACAGGGTGGGGAAGCTTGCACTAGGGTTCCTTGTGCTGTTCCTATCTAGGTTTTCATCACCATAATGTCTGAGATCCTTGTTTAACTTTATAGCATGTTAGTCTCCAGGACTGTCAAATCACCACTTTTCATGGCTACTAGCTGGAGCCAACTCTCTGCTGCAGGATGCTCAAAGAAACTTCCTTTGTAGTCTAGTAGAGCTGCAGGTGCTCAGCATCTCTGAAAATCTTATTTAGGTGCCTAAACAAGGGTTTAGTTGCCTAACTTTAGGTAACCACATAGGTTGCGGGGAATTTTGACAATTCTATTTGAATTCCATTGTACCTTTAAGAATAAGAAGACATCATTTTGCAATACAATGCATTTTTGTTTGTGCCATTTCCCTTTTGGTTTCATAATTATTTTGATGTCCTCTAAAACAGCACACAGTGTTCCTTGACTCATTTGTTTTGGAGGGGAATGCAGACCAACTGCAATATCCCATGCTACACAGAACAGCTGACAAATGACTAATAATTTAAGTTGATGATTTTTCTTATTACAGCCATAGGGATATTACTGGCTTTGCAAGATTATATACCATACAGTGAGAGTTATTTTTTTTCTGCCCCATACTTCAGCCATTCCAGTTTAATATCTGTGCAGGTATAATGTGCTGTGCTGCTGAAAGTTCAAGGCCTCTTATGAAACAGTATATCTAATACTGTCCACTTGATTGGGAGTTAGATACCATGCCAATGTTTAAAGGTGAATAACAATGCTGAAACTCTGGGGTTTAGCCAAAGTTGCTTACTGTGATTTTTTTTCCCCCACTTCCGATCCCCATAATGCTAGACACTATTTCTGAGTAGAATTGAGTGAAAAACACACACGTTTCTGTGGATAGTTGAACTTTTAAATGATTAGCTTTGGCAATGTCCAGTCCTCTTTCTGTCTTTGATTGCCATGAATATTTGAGTAATTGAGCTTAACTGAGCAAGAATGTTAATTAAAAATGCATTTTTCAAGTTGTATCTGTAGAAGCTAGATTTTACACTTTGAACGCACAATTATTGGTGGTAGAGGTGCTTCACTTCTAGTATCTGTCCAGCAGCAGAAGTCCTGAAATACCCCAGAGAACAGCTTCTCTGATTATATTTCTGGCCCATGTGGAACCAATACATACTGGAAATTCTGAAGACCATGGTCTTTCAGTCAGACTTCTTGCCTTATTGATATACCAAGGAGGTATGAATAGTTTGTAAATCTTCAAACTAAGTTTTGGGAGGCTTATAGTGACTGAACTAAATTGCCTATTTCTCCCTTTCCCTTTTGTCCCAAAAATTCACCTGGGACTAGATAGGAAGAAATTGCTGCACACAATAAAACAAAAACATGTATTTTGTATTTTCAGAGTCAAAAGGTGTACGCTGGGCAAACTATCTGTATTGGTGACCAATTCATTGATCAAATGTAGCCCTTTTTTCTGTTCATGAAGTTTTCATGAACAGACTTTGATCTTTGCAATTTTACAATACTTATGCACACACATGTCAACTTCTGGATTGTTAATGAACTATTCAACTACATGCTCAGATTGTCAATCATGAATAATGAATCTCATAATATGGCTTTTTTTCTCTGAGTCCAAAGA